TCGTGGGTAAGGGCCTCCTGACGCCGCCGTGGCTGGTACTATATTCGCTTCTCCTTCTGCTGAGCAAGTCAGGACTGCCGTTATGGAGCGCATTGAAACATCCAAGGGTGTCTTCGTGATTGCCGTGAACTATACCGGTGACGTCATGAATTTTGGGATGGCGACCGAGAAGGCGAAAGCCGCGGGCATCAAGGCCGAGTTCTTTGCCATTGGTGACGATGTCGGAGTTGGGAGAACAAAAGGTGGCAGGGTTGGCAGGAGAGGTATTGGTGGTAGTATTCTAGTGTTGAAGATTGCTGGTGCCCTTGCAGAGTCCGGGTAAGTTACAAAACCTTCCTCTCTTTTTCGAGTTACCAAGTATTTGGCAACGTTGATTGATAGTATACGTTTAATAGTTCGTCTTTGGACGATGTATATCGAATCTCGCAACTAGCTGCAGCGAACATTGTCTCCCTTGGCGCTTCTCTCGAACATGTCCATGTTCCTGGACGAGGAATCCCAGACACAAATTCCGACGAAATGATACCCCATGATGAAATTGAAGTAGGAATGGGAATCCACAATGAACCAGGCTCCGACCGAATCAAAGCTACCGGAGAGGAGCTGATCAAGCGCATGCTTGTCCAGCTACTGGATCAAAATGATAAGGATCGTGCATTCCTGAAATACTCCGCATCGGACGAATTCGTCCTGCTCATCAACAACCTTGGAGCCGTAAGCACCCTCGAATTATCCGCGGTGACGTCTGAGGTCACTACTCAGCTGGCGCGAGATTACTGCATAAAACCTGTCCGCATAATCCAGGGGGCCTTCCTCCCCAATCGTCAATGGAGTTGGATTCAGCACTCTCGCTCCTTAGACTCGTTGACACCGCCTTGGTCCGGGAAATCGCTCCTCGACATTCTGGATTCCCCTTCTGAAGCCGGCTGGTCAGCCCCTGTGGCACCTCCACCTGGGAAAAGCATCATAGGGTACATATGACACCAAGAAAGCCGTCGTAGCGGAAGAAACCCCGTCCAACCTCCAACGTACGTTCTGTAACCTCCCTCCCTTCTTCCACTAACTACTAACCCATCAATCCCCAGTTGATCCCACCATCCTCAAGAAAGTCCTAACATCCGGCCTTAACCGCGTAATCGACGCCGAACCACTCATAACGAAATACGACACCATCGTCGGCGATGGCGACTGCGGCATCGGCCTCAAGCGTGGCGCCCATGCCATCCTCTCCTACCTTGATGCGCCTCCCACCCCTCTCACATACGACCTCGTCACCTCCCTCCACAAAATCATCACCATCGTCGAAAACACCATGGACGGCACCAGTGGCGCCGTCTACGCCATCTTCCTCAACGCCCTCGCGCACGGCCTCCGCGAACAGGCCCCAGGCTCAGCTCCCAAGCCCGTTACCGCGAAGGTGTGGTCTGGTGCGCTGCATCATTCCCTGCGCGCTCTGGGGAAGTACACCCCCGCGCAGGTTGGTGATAGGACGCTGATCGACGCGCTTGCGCCGTTTATTACCACGCTGGCGGAGTCTGGGGATCTGGGAACAGCTGTGAAGGCCGCGGAGGATGCGACGGAGGCGACAAAGCATATGAAAGCAAGTTTGGGGCGGGCTGTGTATGTGGGTGGTGAGGAGGAGTGGATTGGCAAGGTGCCGGATCCAGGGGCATTTGGCCTGGCGCAGTTTTTGAGGGGTGTTGCGGATGCGGTGTAAATGTCGAGTAGCTATGATGTGGTGCTTTTTCATTTTTCTTCTCTCTTCTTTTTGTTTTTTTTTTTTTTTTTTAGTAAATTTTTACGCTTGATGATGAGTGTCTATTTTGTTGAAATTTTCATATTGGATTTTTAAAAGTGTAGGTACATTAAATAAATGATGCGTTTTGGTGAATGTTAAGATATAACTACGGCCTACTCCTTTCCTGTATCACTCACATATAAATATGTACGTCTTTTCTTCGTGTCTGGTGATCGCGGAATCTTGTCCTGGTTATGCGATAATTTAATTGAGCCACCCCTGAAAATACGAGTGATGCATATTTAAAAGAAATTCTTAATTAGGAAAGCATCTTTATATATATATATATATATTGCAGACGGGATTTACTACATAAAAGTTCCTCTATCTAAATTATCTAGTTGATGTATTCAGCTCCATCTAGAATGTCGAAGGCTAGTGTAAAATAAAACTGCCTGCATTCATATACAGTAGACCACATGGGAATTACTCGCTTCATCTTTCATCAGCAATCACAAATAACCCTCAAAAGAACATCAACGGAACCACAAGCCCCAGGCCCGCAACTCCTCCTAGAATCAACTTCCCAACCTCCCCCGAAACCAAAACCCGCGGAGCCACAGACTTCGCGCCCCCAACACTGTCCCGCACAAATCCCAGCGTAGCATTCCATTCCGGCACCCGCCCGCCCATGAGCAGTTGATCCGACCGCTCCTCGTCAATCTCGCCGCGGAAAGCCATCTCAGCCCGCCCAACCATCGAGCCGTGCTTCTCATTAGCCACAATGAAAGACCCAGTCATCACCACTTGCGCTCTGTGCGCGTTGAAGAAACCCAAGATCCCGGGCGTGGAGATCTGGTTCTGGGCCCAGTCGAATTTCCTGTCTTCCGTCGGATTGATGAGGGAGCCCGAATAGAGAAGACTGCCGGCGTCGCGCTCATCTTTGCAGATGCACGAGGCGTTGAACTTGAAGTCTTGTCGCTCGAGGAAGTCTGCTGCGTTCATTCTACCGTTTGAACCGGTATAGGAGTCCATCGCGGTCGGTCATGTTGTAGATCCAGATAGGGTCATGAGTGGACGTGCTATTGGAAGCGTAGTTAGTAAATTAATTGTTGCGGTATCGAATTTGATTTGGTCACTGGTGCTTTGCTTTAAAATAACGACGTACGCCATCCCGGTGTATACATGGATCGCCTGATACTCGGTATAATTGGCTGATTTCCGTTGGGTAGGTCCCGTTCCCGGAGTGAGGTTAAAATGCTTGTCCCATGCCTGAATGGAGAGGTAGAACGGATTTGGCTGAGGACTTGATTTCGGGGAGATCTCCTGAAACCTGCGAGATTGCATTCATCGGTATTTCGAAGGTCCGATTCTCATACTCCCGACACGGGTAATCCGTGTTCTGGGACGGATAATCTGGGGGATCGTACACCGGACTGATGAAGAGTGAGAACATGCCATTGTAGTACCTAGGACTACAGTCAATAATCCGCTTTTATATTGCGATGAAGGTGCATCTCGTATTACGTGCAAGAAGGAAGTCAGGCAGATGTACGAGCCGATATTGTTATAATAGTAAAAGTCCAAGCCGGTCACATTGTCAGGACGTTCGCTGTCCTGTCGATCGTAAGGGCTGATCCTGGAGAGCGCAGGTTACGCCAGAAGAGCAGCAAGAAGTGCCCACTTCATGATTTAAAATAAGAGTAACTTCTCTTCAAAACCGTGCGGGCCCGTGGAGGAAACTGAGAAGCGGGAACCATGAAGAGCTTATACAATAATAGAGACATCCCTGATCTTCTTGGTTTTTAAGCAGGGTCCTTATGCCGTCGCTGGCTGCCAGCTAGAGACAGGCCGATGAAGAAATACGAGAGCAGCCCATGGGGACGAACCCCTGAATGCCAGGACTAAATATGGGGACGAACTAAATACCCCGATTGTGTGCCGAACCTGGTCCGTTTGTTCGGACTGATAGACACAATGTTTTGATTGCGGAGAGGATATTCATTTCGAGAAAGGACTTTTAACATCAAATCTCTTCAGACCCCTTATGATTTCGCTAGAAGAGCGCATTGAGCATGAAGTGCAGGGCATGGTTGAATTGACTTTAGCGCGGATAAGTAAGGTTTATTCACTTGGTCAATAAATTGTTAAAGAGGTGAAATCGCATGCGCGCTTCATATTATCCTCATATTTGATGTGAGGTCAATCCGCTACTAAAGTCGCTCACTACATGTTCCATCATAGGAGCATAAGTGATGCGCTAGCAGTTTGGGGAAAGGGGAGATAAAAGTTTCAGATATGACCATTTTACTCACATTTCCATGAATGAAGGGGGTAGAAAGTTAACCTCCGCATGCGCTTTGTTGCTGCCTGCCTGAAAAGTTATAGGGATTAGATGCCTTCCAAAGCTGCTCTCAAAGTGGGTGTTGTGTGAATACCTTATGGTGGTTAAACGAGTGGCAAGCGTAATTTTAGGCGGACATGACGAGAAGTGAGGGAACAAATCAGGCGTAGATAGGGTTGAATGGTTATTTATCTTCCGCGTTTATTTAAATAGAAAAATTAAAAGAAACATGTGAAGGAATACTGTTATTGTATAATTCTTTCCTTCCCCACCAGCCGGTAGATTTTTATTATTCATCCATTTCCTTATCGCGCCTTGCATCTTTTGAAACATTGAATAGAAAGAAAAAAGTAGATGTGTGGGGAATACTGCGAGCAAAAAGCCCCCAGACGCCAGACAAATGAAAGCAAAGTTTCAGAATTTTTGTGTCGATCAGGTTCGTTACATGATTATATGGGGAAAAAAAATTCAATCAATCAATCAATCCGAGAAATTGAGAGAGATGGCTTATTATTCTTCGTATTCCGGCTGATTTGATGTGCAGTAGACGGCGCGAGGAGCACACGACTCCATGCGGAAAGGAGAAGAGTGAACCCCCCGGCAAGATCCATGTCGATGTTGACTTGCTAACTCAAGCACACGGAATTAATACCAAGGCTTGCAATTTGGTAAAAGCCAGAATGCAACAGGTCTGGGTGCTGCCATTTTCTCTTAATGTAATGTTTTGTGACCATCGAGAAGCCGTAAACGTTCGGTGGTATGTATTATTCAACTCAACAGAACTAGGATAACAGAGTCTCCTCGTAGGAACCTATCATGGAAACAAGCATGAAAAGTTAGCAGGCGGGCGTAGATAACATCTTGTGAGCCGTGTATGCATCACCATGGATTCGGACGCACATTTTGCTGACAAAGCGATCCTTGTTGACGCCTTTGCCCTTTCCACCTTTTGGTTTCTCTGTCCACATTTCCTTCACATTCTCCAAGACCATGTTGCAGTGTCTGTCAAACGCCTTGACTCTGGCTAGTAACTTGCGGTTATTGCGACATGAGATCAAGACTTGTGCATGAGAACGCGTTGCAGTTTGGAGGATAGACAGAGGACCGGAGGTGAGCTCATGTTCTTCCAGTATCGAAACCTCGTATTCGCTGCAGAGATGGAAGCGGAAATGCAAAGTTAGTTAATGGGCATGGGATAGCATAGGACAAGGGCGCATCAGGATGGA